AGCTGGTTATTAAGACCAGCTGCCTGCAATTACTGCAGGTTCGAATCTCGCCAGGCTCAAGGTCGACTCAGCCTTCCATCCTTTCTAAGGTAGGTAAATTGAGGACCCAGTTTGTGGGGGCAATAAGCTGACTTTGTATAAATATACAAAAGGATGAAGGCTATTGCTGAGCACATTGTAAGCCGCCCTGAGTCTCCGGAGAAGGGCGGCATATAAATCAAATATATCATATATATATATGTTTTCTCAGGTTTTCGCGGGTGTTTGTATGTAGGTCTTTGGTTATTCGGGTCTTCTCCCACGTAAAATTATATATATATAATTGAAATTGAAAACCCGATATGGCACTAGGCCAGGGGTCAGCAACCTGCGGCTCTGGAGCCGCATGTGGCTCTTTCACCCCTCTGCTGCGGCTCCTTGTCGAATCTCTGCTGGGCCCTTTTGACCAGGGCTGCAATGTGAGTGCCCCAGGTTAATTTGATTTTCATGCCTAAGGCGGGACTAGAACTCACAGTCTCCAGGCGATTGGCCCAAAGTCACCCAGCTGGCTTTCATGCCTAAGGCGGGACTAGAACTCCCGGTCTCCTGGCGATTGGCCCAAAGTCACCCAGCTGGCTTTCATGCCTAAGGCGGGACTAGAACTCACAGCCTCCTGGCGATTAGCTCAAAGTCGTCCAGCCTGCTTTCAGTCGGGACTGGAACTCAAAAAGTCGTCTGCTTCCTACCTTGGTGCCTTAATCACTAGATCAAACCGGCTTCATTGTAATATTAATGAAATGAATAGATTAATTTTCTACTGGGAGAAATGCGGATGGGGAAGCAGGAAGAAGGGATGAAGTCATCTTGAATCTCATTGTGTTTTGCTGTTGGGCCAGAGAGAAACACAATGATGCAAGTGAGGACACCAGGGAGAATCTTGCGGTAGGAAAAAAAAAAAAAAAAAGCCGTTGGCGCTACTACTCTGTGTATCTTGGATCAATTTCAGCTGCTCTCTTTCTTCTCTTCCTGATCGTTACACTCCCTGGTCTGATGCGATAGATTTCCCATAAGTTTGCAACAACGGGAAGATCAATTCTTTTATTGATTCAGCCCTCCTGCAACTCCTTTACAGGAGCAAACGTGAATTTGCAAAGGTTTAAAACAAGTCTTCGGTAGCTTTACATTTTGCATCAGTGGTGAAATCCAAATTTTGTTACTACCGGTTCTGTGGGCGTGGCTTGGTGGGCGTGGTATTGCTTGGTGGGCGTGGCAGGGGAAGGATACTGCCAAATCTCCATTCCCACCCCACTCCAGGGGAAGGATACTGCAAAATCTCCATTCCCTCCCCTTCTGGGGGAAGGATACTGCCAAATCTCCATTCCCACCCCACTCCAGGGGAAGGATACTACCAAATCTCCATTCCCTCCCCTTCTGGGGGAAGGATACTGCCAAATCTCCATTCCCACCCCACTCCAGGGGAAGGATACTGCCAAATCTCCATTCCCTCCCCTTCTGGGGGAAGGATACTGCCAAATCTCCATTCCCTCCACTTCTGGGAGAAGGATACTGCAAAATCTCCATTCCCACCCCACTCTGGGGCCAGCCAGAGGTGGCATTTGCTGGTTCTCCGAACTGCTCAAAATTTCCGCTACCGGTTCTCCAGAACCTGTGAGAACCTGCTGGATTTCACCCCTGTTATACATGTAAAATGGGTTTGCCTACATAAAGCTGTATTTTATTGGTTTGACTCATTTTATTATGGCCCCTGCCTCTCAGTGTCGATCAGGAAGGTGTGGATTGTAATATTATTCAATAAATCCGATGCCCGATTCCATGGAGGTCCCCCCCCCCGAAATTGTTTTAAAAGCTCCACTCGTTTTCTTTTATGCCGCAGAATCTGCTTATTCCGTCAAAGAGCGAATTCTTGTTCGGTAGAATTTCAGCTGGCTCGGAAACATTTCGTTTAAAAAAAAGGAAGGAAAAAAAAAGAATTTTAATCACATTCTTTTAAGGCAGCACAATAATGTGCCCTTTTTTAAAAAAAAAAAAAATCTTCAGAACAAGCCAGTCAGGTTAGACAGTTTAGAAAAGTCACCTAACCTGCAGACTTCGATAAAATGTAGGTCAAAACACAAGAGCCACGTGGATCGAACTCCGTTGAGGGAAGGCGAATTAAAAATAGAAAGAAAACGTGGAGTTAAATGTGGCGGACTCACTTGGAGCCGAGTCCCGTTAATAACTTGTGTGCCCTAGTTTGATTCGCCTTTCTTCCTTCTCCCTCCTCACTCCCTTTCTTTTCCTGCCAGTTCCTTTTAGGTTAAAAGTCTGTAGAGATTCCCAGTCATCCAAGCCGTGGTTATCCAAAAAGTGCTTTTTCAGTTGGACTTTCTGGTTTTTTTTTCCTTGGAAGAAAAATATTCCTTGCAGACAGCTGGTCATTTGCATCTTTTTAGAGAGACCTTAAGATAAACCTCCAAGTGCTTCAACGACCCTCTAAAACAGGGGTCGGCAACCTTAAACACTCAAAGAGACATTTGGGCCCGTTTCCCACAGAAAAGAAAACACCGGGAGCCACAAAAACCCTTCCCGTGCCTGACTATTTCTTGAGCGACCACAAAATTAGCATATGTAGTTGAAATTAAATGTTCTGAAACTTTTCTTGGATTTATCCATGGTTGGCCTACCGGAGGTTGAAAAGCTCAATAAATTGCGTGTCGGCGGGTTTTGCACATTGCCGATTGTGACGTATATTTTGAATGACAAGGAGCCGCAGCAGAGGGGTGAAAGAGCCACATGCGGCTCCAGAGCCGCAGGTTGCTGACCCCTGCTCTAAAAGGATGCAAATGACCAGCTCTGTCTGCAAGGAGTATAAATCCTTCCATTCCCCACCATCCAAGTCAGAGCTGAAGAAGCTTCTTGGATGAGAAGCGAAACATCTTCAAAAGAAAAAACAAGGAAGTCCTTCCGTTTTAGAAATTTGCTGGTCTTGCCTGAGCAATTCCCAAATGTCCCCAGATATTCAAGAAAAGGAAAAAGAAAAGATGGATTAAAACATGGGACTCCAAAGATTCACTTTTTGGAAGGAGGGCTGAAGAATAAAGCTGCCTTCACATACATTCTAACAATGAATGAATTTCAAGACGCCTGAAATGTTAGTCATATGATGACAACATTTTTGTGGGCCACAGTCCACACATTCCACTCCAACAGTCCTATCCCTATCATTCAGGAAGGGGAGGGGGAGATGGTCTCCCATCCTCCATGTAGCAGAGAACATCATAGAGAAAGGAAGGAAGGAAATACAGGTGAAAAAAAATGACCTACATATATAGACATTCCTTGGCAAGACAGGTAGTCCCTGATTTATGACCACAATTGAGCCCAAAATTTCCATTGCTAAGTGAGACAGTTGTTATAGGTGAGTTTGGGCCCATTTTATGACCTTCCTTTATTTATTTATTTAAATTTAAATTGCTACAGTTGTTAAGTGAATCACTGCAGCTGTTAAGTTACCAACATGGTTGTTCTATGAATCTGACTTTGCTTGTCAGAAGGTCGCAGAAGGGGATCAAACGACCCCTGGACAGTCATAAATACCTGCCAGTTGCCAAGCGTCCAAATACTGTGCACCTGACCATGGGGATACTGCAACGGTCGTTAAGTGTGAAAAACGGCCAAAAGTCACTTTTATCAGTGCCGTTGTAACTTTGAACAGTCACTAAACAAATGGTTGTAAATCAAGGACTACCTGTGCAACCATGTAAAGAGTACTATGAATATAAGGTTTGTATCTCTGGCACCTTGACACTGCGCTACGCATATCGCACAATTCTGTGCGAAGGTAACCCAAGTAGGAAAATCAGCTTTCACAGACTCTCCCATTTTCTGAAACAAAAACCAACAACAACAAAAAACTCCTTTCCTAATAGGATAATACAAAATCCCGGTGAGAATCCCAGATGCAACAGGAGAAAATGGAATAACATTTTTGCATCCCTCCCTCCCATTCCTGGGAAACCAGAAAAGCAGCAAAAACTGGTGAGTCAGGCCAAAAGAAGAGAGTTCATTTCCATAATTTATGCAGGCTGCAGAACTGAGTTTTTCAAAGCACAATCTGAGTGCAATGGTGTGAATGCTGGTTTAGAGCAGCATTTCTCAATTTCGGCAATTGGAAGATGTGCGCACTTCAACTCCCAGGATTCCCCAGCCAGCTATGGGATTATGGGAATAGAAACTATGCTGGCTGGGGAATCCTGGGAGTTGGAAGTCCGCACATCTTAAAGTGGCCAAAGTTGAAAAACGTTGGTTTAGAGTAAGGTACCATTCCTCTCTTTGAGGCCACTCCAAAAACATAGGCCATTTTTTTAAAAAAATGTATTATCATCACTGGCTTTGAGATAATCCTCCAGATCAGAGCAGGAGTGAAATCCAGCAGGTTCCGGAGAACCAGTAGTGGAAATTTTGAGCAGTTCGGAGAACCGGCAAATGCTACCTCTGACTGACCCCAGAGTGGGGTGGGAATGAAGATTTTGCAATATCCTTCCCCCAGGAGTGGGGAGGGAATGGGGATTTTGCAGTATCCTTCCCTTGCCACGCCCACCAAGCCACACCACACCACGCCCACCCAGCCACGCCCACAGAACCAGTAGGAAAAAAAATTGGATTTCACCACTGGATCAAGGGTGTCAAACTCAAGGCCCAGGGGACGAATGTGGCCCGTGGGGTGCTTTGATCTGGCCTACGGGGCCACCCTGGAAACAGCGAAGGACCGGCCCACGGTGCCTCTGCCAGCAAAAACAGAGCTTGGCGAGCTCCGTTTTCACTGGCAGAGGGTTGCAGGAGGCCATTGCAGCCGAAAACGGAGCTCGGGAGCCCGTTTTCCCTGGCAGAGTGTTCAGGACGCCACAGGCGCCCCCGACACAAGTGATGTTGAGCTGGCCACACCCACCGAGCCCTCCGAGGTCAAACTCAATCCTGATGCGGCCCTCAAATAAGAGTTTGACACCCCTGCTCCAGATTAAAGTAAAATTTTATTTTCACACGTTAGAGGCAATGACACGGTAGGGAGCAAGACTGGCGTTTTGTGTTAATGGGAGTTCGACATACCCTTCACTGTCTAGTACGTCCTTAATGCTAGCCTTGGTAATTATGGCATCGTCACATTTGAACCATTGGTCTCTGTGTTGCCGAATAAAGCTGGTATAATGCCCGCTCTCCAGGGTTCCTTGATGGTTAACTACTGCAAACAAGGAATACCTGTCGGAATGAACAAGGAAATAGAAAAACGGCTTGATTTTTTTACAACGTAGAACCTTTCAATAATCAACATTTCGCCCCTTCAATAATCAACATTTTGCTAATATGTACTCGTATGTAAGCTGGGCCATCCGAGGTGGAGCTTCCACATGCTACAGGTTATCCTCAACGTACGACCACAATTGAGCCCCAAAATATCTGTTGCTAAATTGTCGTGACTCTTGCCCCATTTTATGACCTCTCTTGCCGCAGTTATTAAGTGAATCACTGCAGAAGTTAGTCACACAGTGGTTAAGTGAATCTGGCTCCCCCGTGGACTTTACTTGTCCGAAGGTCACAAGAGATATGACCTTCCCCCCCCAGGACACTGCAACTGTCATAAATATGAGTCAGTGGCCAAGCCTCTGAAATTTTGACTGTGTAACTATAGGAATGCTGCAACGGTCGTTAAAAGTTTGAAAAGTGGTCACAAGTCACTTTTTTCAGTGCCGTTGTAGCTACAAACGGTCCCTAAATGAACTGATGTTAAGTCGAGGACTACCTATATTATCTAGTGTTTCTGAAAAACATCAACGGCGTTTATGCATATTACTCTATCAGTGCCAATCCAAGCTGTCAAAACGTCAGGTGTATTAAGATTTTATTTATCGCACGTCCTGGCGTGCCACCCCCTCTACAAAGACTGGGTGGGCTTCACTAGACCAGTGACTACTTCAATTGGACAAACGAGCAGGTAAAATTTGTGGAGTAGTAAGTCTTTAGAGTAGATAGAAGGAAGGCTGGGGGGGAGGGTCGATGGAGAGAAGTGCAATGGAAAAATCACTGTTTGAAGAAGAAGCATTTTGTTCCTGGGCAATTTTTTTTTTTAGCACTAGTTTAGAACACAAAGTGCTTTTTTAAAAAAAACAAAAACAGGCTACTGAACTCTGCAAGGCAGCTTTTTATACTGTTTTAAGGGACGTATCTGAGACCAAGAAGCACAGAAGACAAAGCCACCTACTTATTATCACTGTTTAGACTATCTGCTGGTTGCTGGTACTGCCCATTCATTCTGCTCTCTTTACTACAATAAAAACAAACAAACAAACAAAAAAACACCATGTTCAGTGTCATTTAAAAAGACAGCGGGTTATCAAGTCGCCCTTTAGTTAACAGACATTTAAAATTTGAAGAGATCTCCTTATTTTCTCGACATTTCCTGAAGAGGAGAAACAAGTGTTTAAGTAAAGAGACAACACTGACATAACTTACCCCTTGGCATGAAGAAAACCAGCAAAACACCAAAGCTAAAAAGCAGGAGATTTAAATTACTGGTTTTAAGCATTTAAGGCTATTGACAGGGTGAATCCCGAATGCTCTGTATGCGGTGATACTTGGAATTTTTCTAGAAGACGTCTTTCTCCAAAGAGGAGAAAGATAAATTTACTGCTCCCTAAATGTATCTTCAAAGGTCCTCTAAAACATACACACTGCCCCCATTGCAATTTTTCCAACCTGGACGACCTTCTTGAAAGGTCAATTTCAAATCTCAGCATTTCCCGGGACAAAGGTCATGCTGGCTGGAGAATTCTGGAGAACTTTTGAATGGCTGTTTAAAGAAAAGATTTCACAGCCAAAAGTTTTAAAAATGTGAGCGTGTATTTTTTTATACTTGTATCAGTGATCATTCAGGCAATATAAACTTGCCATCTTTCTTCTCGGCATAACAATCAAATCAAAGGAAATTGATTAGTTCAATGAAAAGCAAGTATATATATATATAAAACAAATAATACGTTATATATTATACAGCATATAATAGCAATAGACTTATATACCGCTTCACAGTGCTTTACAGCCCTCTCTAAGCGGTTTACAGAGTCAGCCTCTCGCCCCCAGCAATCTGGGTCCTCATTTTACTGACCTCAGAAAGATGGAAGGCTGAGTCAACCTGGAGCCAGTCAGGATCGAACTCCTGGCAGTGTGAGTAGTGAATTAGTCTGCAATACTGCATTCTCACCACTGCGGCTCTATGCACTTTAGAGGAGGAAGGTGGAATCACTCTCTTTTCACTCAAGATACTCCTGCTTAATTTCAATTGTGAAATCCATGCCAATGGAACCACTGAAAAGAACATCCAATTATAGTCCCCACCTATAAGCTGAACTAGACAATTTCTCTGCCCTTTCAACACAGCCTAAGACATGGAGGGTTTCTCGCCAGAAGAGGTTTCCAGTGCATACCTAGAGGCCATGAAAGGCGTCATGTCCAGCTCTAGTGGAAAGGAGACATACGTAGTGATCTTCCGTCTCAGTTTGGCTGAGTGTTCAAACCGCTAGATAAAAAAAATGGGTAGAAGATCAGATTTTTACTTCCTTAATGTAACAGCATCTCATCAGTTAGAATAGAATGAATAGAATAGAATAACAGAGTTGGAAGGGACCTTGGAGGTCTTCTAGTCCAACCCCCTGCTTAGGCAGGAAACCCTACGCCACTTCAGACAAACGGTTGTCCAACCTCTTCTTAAAAGCTTCCAGTGTTGGAGCATTCACAACTTCTGGAGGCAGGTTGTTCCACTGATTAATTGTTCTCACTGTCAGGAAATTCCTCCTTAGTTCTAAGTTGCTTCTCTCCTTGATTAGTTTCCACTCATTGCTTCTTGTCCTGCCTTCAGGTGCTTTGGAGAATAAATTGACTCCCTCTTCTTTGTGGCAGCCCCTGAGAGATTGGAAGACTGCTATCATCTTATTGTTCCCTATGACTATCATTAAGTGTTGTACCTTATGATTCTTGACGAATGTATCTTTTCTTTTATGTACACTGAGAGTGTATGCATCAAGACAAATTCTTTGTGTGTCCAATCACACTTGGCCAATCAAGAATTCAATTCAATTCAATTCAATTCAATTCAATTCAATTCAATTCAATTCTATTCTATTCTATTCTATCATGTCTCCCCTAGTCCTTCTTTTCATTAAACTAGACATACCCAGTTCCTGCAACCATTCTTGGTATATTTTAGCCTCTAGTCCCTTAATCACCTTCATTGCTCTTCTCTGCACACTTTCTAAAGTCTCCACGTCTTTTTTACATCGTGGTGACCAAAACTGAATGCAGGATTCCAAGTGTGGCCTTACCAAGGCATTATAAAGTGGTATTAACCCTTCACGTGATCTTGATTCTATCCCTCTGTTTATGCAGCCTAGAACTGTGTTGGCTTTTTTGGCAGCTGCTGGCTCATGTCTATATGGTTGTCCACTAGGACTCCAAGATCCCTCTCACAGTTACTACTATTGAGCAAGGTACCATCTATACTGTACCTGTGCATTTTGTTTTTCTTGCCTAAATGTAGAGCCTTATTTTTTTCACCATCAAATTTCGTTTTGTTAGATAATGAAAGTTAGTTAGCTCGGGTGTAGAAAAACAACTACGGATAGTCCTTGAGGTACAACCATAATTGAGCCCAAACTGCTCAATTGCTAAGCGAGCTGTGTCCCATTTTACGGCCTTTCTTGCCACAGTTGTTAAGTGAATCGCTGCAGTGGTTAAGTTGGTAACACAGTCGTTGAATGAACCTGGCTTCCCCCATTGACATTGCTTGTTAGAAGGTTGAGACAGGCAATTGTGTGACCCTGGGACACTGCAACTGTCTTAAATACGAGTCAAGTTTCCAAACTGACCAAATTTTGATCACATGACCGTGGAGATGCTACAACGGCTGTAAATATGAAAAACGGTCCTAAATCACTTTTTTCAATGCCGTTTTAACTTCGAATGGTCACTAAATGAGCGGTCGTAAGTCAAGGATTACCTGTATATGAATACAACAGTGTGTCAGAAGTGAGTGTCTTTTATACAGTTTGTATGGTTGCCTACTGTTTCTTCTTTTTAGAACAAGAGAGAGATCAGAATGTACCAGAAAGGGAGGGAAAAAATTGTTTTAAAAACAACTCTTTTTAATTCTTGGGGTATTCTAGGATTTTTAGGCGTAGATTCAGCCTGAAACCTTCTTTGTACAAAGCTAGCACTGAGGTGTGCTGTGATTTAGAAAGCAAGACAAATAATATTCTAGGTATCTCACGCTGCCAAGACACAAGTGGCTGGAAAAGATTAATTTCAGAGACAATGGGAAATGTGATAAGCTCCCTACTTTCATCATCATCCAAATAAAATGCTATAAGCGGATGTGAACAGGGGGCAGAAAGATTAATGAACTCTTCTTCCGAAAGGCAGCCTTTCTCCAAATTTCTAAAAAAAACTCCTGTCCTATTTACCTTTGTAGGTAATTGTACTCCAATTTCAGAAGCAGAACAATTCCCTAGCAACAGACGAGGCTATTTTCCCAGTATGAGAAAAGAAATTACACAGATGAGATAGCCTTTCACATTTTCTTTCTTTCTTTTTTTTTGTTTACCATATTACATTATTAACATTGTCAGAAGACACAACCTCTTCATCATGGCTCTGATAACAATTCGGCTATAAATAACGTACAGCCCCCTATCCATTACTTCAGCTGCCGGAATTTAGCAATATTAGTTCGCTGGCATTTGAACGCTGTTTTGAGGCATTAAATATTAAAATCTTAATTCTGAACAGACAGGGCGACAGGGTGATTCATGGCAAGAGATCATCCTTTGACATTCAATACAAATGCTGCCTGTTTCCAAAATATCCTTCTCTGTGTTCACTTTTATGAAATCTAGACGTTTGGATATACTAGATATGGCTATTTGTATTTCTCCGCTGCGGAATATGCTGATCATCAACAGCAACTCAACTCTGAGGGATCCTTGGTGCCCTCTGAGCTTGTTTTTCTTGCAAACGTTTCATTCAACATCATCAGTGCTAATAAGGAGTGCACTTTGTTGTCACTTTTATATTGTGGTGGCTTGGCCTGTGAGTGTTTCTGGGGTTGGCCTTAAGAGATTCTTTGGTTGGGCTTTTTACTGTTGGCTCTTTGGCCGTTTCTTGATTGGGGTATTGTTTACTTGGTTGTTGGTCTGAAGTTAACCTTAGACTTAAGGTCTAAGTGATCTGGAGTCTTTTTGTTCTTTTTTGGGTTGGGTTGATAGTCCCTTTTGCATAGCAATAGCACTTAGACTTATATACCGCTTCACAGTGCTTTACTGATTTTGTAAACTGCTTTCTCTAAGCAGTTTACAAAATCAGCATCTTGCTCCCAACAATTTGGATCCTCATTTTACCGACCTCATAAGGATGGAAGGCTGAGTCAACCCTTGAGCCTAGTGAGATTCGAACTGCCAAACTGCTGGCAGCCAGTGATCAGCAGAAGTAGCCTGCAGTACTGCACTCTAACCACTGCGCCACCGCAGCTCTACAGACTTGTGTCTACTGATGACTGATTTGTCAAGAGTGCCAGGAGAGCACCAAGGCTCCCTCATGTCAACCCTGAGCTACAAATATTCTCCTTTCTTAGCATCTCAACTCTGTAAGTTTCATAAAATATTAATCTTCAGCGACCACTGACAAAAACCTTTTGAATGTCTGTTGAAGCTCTATCGTAGTTAAGAGTTAGAATGTTTTGGAAACATAATGGCAGACATTTGAAAGTATGCCTCAATTGAACAGATATCCTCATGAGCATCAAATTACAAGGGTCAGCTAGGTAGTTACACAATTGGAGGAGGGCAAATAGTTTAATAGCAAAGACCACTGCAAAAGAACCCACTTCCTCCAAACCATTCTAATATTCTCTAATTCAATTCTTCTGGACAGTTATGGAATCAAGGCTAAAAGTTTTAAGTTCGGCAAGCAACATATGGCTTTATGGATCATATAACAGCAGAGAGTTGGATCTGCAATGTCTATGGAAATTCTCAATCTTCCAGGTCATGATTGAACCAAAGGTGTTTTACCCAAAAGGCAACTGAACTTTCTTGGGTTTTTTTCTTTGAAAACATTTGGCTTCTCAACCAAGAATTTTCTTCTTCAGAACTGGATGGCTTTCTTTCTTTGAAAAACCTTTCGCCTCTCATCCAAGAAGTTTCTTCAGAACTGAAGAAGCTGAAGAAGTTTCTTGGATTGGAAGCAAAATGTTTTTTTTTTAAAAAAAATAACACAAGGAAGTCCAGCTGCTTTTTGGAAAAAACACCTTTGGGACAGAAACTGCAAAATGTTAAACTCTGGATATCTAATCAATCTAGAAATATATTATTCAACAGTCACAAGGTATGTCCCCAATTCTTAAGTGTACGCGCTCAGTTCAAAACTGAGATTCAGTCTACCCGTGAGATTTAAGATAAAATCCACAAAATAAAGAAAGTCAAACCAATTTCATGGAGGAAGATCCGCTTTCAGGAATCATCATTTAAGCAACTCACTTTGAGATGAAAACAAGCCACAATGGGTAGTTTCTTCATAGTGAGCTGTTTGGTAGATTCTTGGTAGCTGTGGCAACCACTACATTTGATTTTGGCACTGCTTCCTAGATGTTCTGGCCTTGTAAACCTGAAAAAAAATATGTTTAAAACAGAATGGATAACCAGCAGAAGTAACTATTTCACTTTAAATTTCCATTTAGTATCTTTTACGTACAATCTTCTACAAGTTTTGCATTTAAAATACTAGCTTCATCAGAGGTTTTATTCATTTCAAGTCCTCTGCTATTATGTTTCTTGATTTAAAAATAAAACATAAATTATACGTAACCTATACAAACTGGTGTTAAAATGTTCCTTAAGACATTTCCCACAATCTTTGTTTATGTTCTTAAAGCCAAACTTACCTGAAAAATATGATAATAAAAATAAATTTGGCTCAGTGGCCAATCTATCACAAACTGGCTAATATGAAGAGATCACAGATGAAGCAAAAAAAAGGATCTTAAGCTTTGATTAGGTGAATAGGCCAGTGTTTGGCATATGTTTAAATATACACAATTGAGGCACTTGTGAGGACAGATTAAAGGTTTTTTTCACATAGCTAAAATACAACATGCCTTCCCAAATCTGGAAATTATCTTGGATGAAATCTAAATGTATGTTTTTATAATTGCCATCCTTACCTTCCAGACTCAAAGGGATCAACTGGTTCAAAAAGGAATATGCAAACCTTGGAATTGTTGAAGCAATGCTTGGTTCAAGACCTCTCTTATTGAAACAGTAAATCTGAATTCTGTACTGAGGCAGTACGTAAGACCAACACTGAACCTTCTTCCACACAAATGAGTTTCCTCCATCCATCAAGATCACTTGGTAACAGGACTTCTATATACAAGGAATTCTTTGCATGGAACAGCCATGCCAAACTAGCCATTTGAGAGAGACACACTCCACAGAATTAATCCCCAAGTGTCTACAGAAAGGGTATAGAACTTCTAAATGAATTATATCTTTTAGCAACTGCGGCAGCTGCTGACTGTAGTGGTTACAGCTAAAGACAGCTGAAATCCAGAAGCCTCAAGGTTTTCATATTTGCATCATTTCTCTTTCAATCTTGTCTAAAAACTAAAACAGCTCCAAATTAGCCATCATCTACGTGTTAAGGTAACAAATAAACCCTATATAGTATGAAGCAATAAGACAAAAGCATAGCTCTATTGGCATTGTTACTGTATAATACTTCCATGTTAAAAGAGGTTTAACAGTGAACTCCAGAATTTGTTTAGGGTGGCCACCAAAATATGTACCAGTGGACAGTTACGGGATTAGATGGAAGTTTGATCCAGTAGGGCTGTTCCTATGATCTTAATTACTATAATAGTGATAGCTGAATGGATCTGGTTAGCATTATTCTGAAGTTGTTTGCCAGATTCCAAGAAAATGGAAGAATCTTAGGGGGAGAAACCGATGTATAATCCTAAATAATTTAGTCTCGATGTCCTAATTACAGTGTGGTGATTCAGTGAGTAAAGAAAGATATCCCCAGGAATATCTCCATTTAACTGGCCTCAAAGCAGGTAAACAGGTGGCAAACAATTAAACAGTGAACAGGTAAACAGTTAAAAGCCATGGAAATATTTTCAATATTCAATTGAGACTATGGGTAATTACATAGAGGAAAGCCCAGATAGGGACAGGAAAACATTTCCCATTCTTGCAAGGAAATGGGAGTGTAAATTCATTGAGCCCCCTCTATCTCGACTGGCCTGTTATCCATTTGGAGACAAGAAAGTCTGTGCATATGGATTTCTTCATATGGATTTCTGTATACCGTTGTACAAATTCTCCGGCAAATATTTTCTTTTCAATCTTCCTGAAGTAGAGGTGGTTGTGTGATAATTCTATAACCTCTCAGATCTTTTGTGAAGTGACAGTTGCATCAGGAGGAACAGAAAAATAGTCTGCTTGCTGTGTTTTGAAAGAAGGATGAAACCTGCTGGACATTGCTCATCTGTTGATCTTTCTTGAATTCAGTACTAAGATACATTCCACATCGTATTTTAGCAGAACGTTCTGTTAAAGACTAGTAGAATTTCTTCTTCATAAGGCCAACCAACGGCGTTCAAAAACTGGTGAAGCAATGGAGGTTTCCTGCAATTTTGACTGGCTGCTTCGCTTGACAATTCCTCTTTTAGGTTGGATTTTTCTCTTCCTTACCTCTAAGAGACCCCACTTCTGTTCACTGAGCAAGGGAGGGATAGGTAAGAGGCAGACTATCCATAATTAAGGAAAACAAGGATTGTGACCTGCACCTATGATCTACAGAGATACCACATATGTAGGTCATAGTTCAACGACGTTTTATTTAAAATATCTGTAAGATGAGAGATCAAAGGTGTTTTTGTTTATCCTGAGCGTGCCTTGCTTTGCAACATATGAAGCAATACCCATCTACTGTCTAACATAATCAAGGATACACAGTGCTGAAATTTATCATGGGGAAAGCTAAACTGAGGGGGTTGTTTGTCTTGGTTACCTACCAGCTTCTATCAAGTTTATGCTACATGCTTAATTTTTGTCCTGGCCTCTTTTCCTACAAGGGAATTGAGTTGCTTGCACGATGATTCAGCAGAAATAATTGCAGACGTGGTGGTGTGTTTTTTTTTTTTTTGCTCCTGGGCCATCTGCCTGCCGATTGCTCATCTGCAGACAGGAGGAGGGAAGGTAAGATTGCTCCTTTCTAATGCCAGTCTGCCAGTCTGTACCTTCGCAAGCAGTCTGTGAGGGTGGTGGTTCCTGACACGTGGCTCTCTCCGTTCACCACACTGCCATCGCTGCCTGGACTCAGAGGCCAAAACGGGGTGGAGGAACCGGGTAAGTCCAGGCTGATGTCCCAGAAGGGGTCTATCGTGGTGGACACACCGCTAGGGAGAGGGGAAAAAAAACAACAGTTCAGCCATGGGATTATGTAAAGCGAAAGTTTGGACATAAGTGATTGTGGGGTCCTTGGTACTTTCATGAGCTTAGTGTTTTCTTGCAGATGATTCATTACCCAACTAGGTAACAACTTCAGCGCTAGAAGGTAGTGCGGATTGCAGAATGGAGAAAGGAGGAGGAGGAGGAAGACGACAACTGTGGTGTCCTTGGTGCTCTCTGAGTTTGGTTGTTTTCTTGCAGATGTTTCATTACCCAAGTAGGGAACATCATCCATGCAATGATGATGAAAGCCTACTCCCTTTCAGCACTGATGAGGTTACCTAGTTAGGTAGTGAAAAGTCTGCAAGAGAACAACCAAAACTAAGGACCCCACAGTCTTCCTCCTCTTTTGCTCCTCTCCCCCCCCCCACCCATTTCCTTCCAGTGCTGATGAAATTACCTAGTTGGGTCATGAAACATCTGCAAGAAAACCACCAAGCTCAGCAAGCACCAAGGACCCCATAGGTCAACCCTATGTTACAAACATTCTCTTCTATCAGTAACAATCATTTTACCTGTTAAAATTGAGAGGACAAAGAGAATAAATATTAAGGGGGTATCCCTGCAAATCAAGAGATCCAGAAAATGGTGTGATATTACTTTACAAAATAGTAGGTTCACAAGGGTAAACGCTGAGAGGAAAAACATTCTGGCAACCTTTACATCAGAGGTCTTCAAATTTGGCAGCTTTAAGACGTGTGGACTTCAACTCCCAGAATTCTCCAGCTAGCTATGCTATGCTATGCTGGCTGGAGGATTCTGGGAGTTGAGGTCCACAAGTCTTAAAGCTGCCAAGTTTGAAGACTTCTGCTTTACATGTCCAAAATGAATGTGCAGAAGTGGAAGAAAAATTGGCATTTCACCTCTAGGGGGTGCTCGCAAAACAGATTGCCAACAAAGAACATTTTAAATTTCTTTAATGGGGACCTTAAAAATACGGAACAAGAGCAGGATGTTAGGGAATGGACGAAATATCAGCTAATGAAGTTAATGAAAAGTCCGTATAATTTAACAGTGCAAAATTGTTTTGTGTTCTGGCAGCTCAGGTCTCCCTTTTAAAAAAAGCATATTGGCTGCCCACTTGCTTTATAATCAAGCCAAGGCTGATTTTAAGCTCCTGGTGATGTTTATTTACATATGGCTGAAAAAAAGATTGCCATCACGACTTCACAAGAATGCAAGCAGGTTTAAGAGCAGTAGGTTAGCTATTACGCAATTAACTCTTTTCTTTATTTCATTCAGGTTCTCACTGAAGTTTCCTGCCTAGGCTCGCTCTCTATGTACAACAAGAAGATATCGCCATTTTATTCTCAAGGGGTTGCCCGTTTTTTAAAAGACTTGCTCATCATACTCACTGGCAGACCTGACAAGTGACATCAGACTGTAGTCCACCTGTGAAGATTTGGTCTATGATACAGTTACAGTGGTTGGGATTGCTGGCTTTCTTCCCATTATCGTCACCTGAAGAAAAAGGAAATAAGCAGACTTTGTTTTCAAGCCTTCTGAATATTCGCATGCAGCCGGGCAGAGAACTACGCTCTTTACATACTAAACATACATTTACAATCATTCGTTTAGTGACCATTCAGAGTTACAATAGCAATAGCCCTTAGACTTATATACCGCTTTACAGCCCTCTCTAAGCGGTTTACAGAGTCAGCATCTTGCCCCCAACAATCATCTTCTTTTAACGGCCACATAATCCCTTGCAGGGTGGAGTCTAGGCAACTGAAGGGAGCTAGCGGAGTGTTTTAATGGCCAGATGCCCTTCCTGTCGCTAATGCGGAATTTTGTTCAGCAGATAAATTCTCAGTGTGCCCAGAGAGAGAAATTATCTGCCTCTACCTAGGATCGAACTCACAGCCTCCCGATTGTGAGGCCAGAGCTCTACCTCTAGGCCTCCGCACCATTCCTTGCCCCCTCAACAATCTGGGTCCTCAATGATACTGAAAAGAAGGGACTTATGACTGTTTCTGAACAACCACTGTTCAAAATTTGGACACTTGGCAAGTGGCGTGTATTTATAACAATTGCAGAGTCCTGCGGGTCATCTGGTCAGCTTTTGTGACCCTCTGACAAGCAAAGACAACAGGGAAGTCAGAGTCCCTTTACATCTGTGCTACTTAACTTAACAACTGTAGTGTTTCTGTGGCAAGAAAGGTCATAAAATTGGGTGCAGCTCATTTAACAACTGCCTTGCTTAGCAGTGGAAATTCTGGTCCCCATTGCGGTCGTAAGCCAAGGACTGCCTGTAGACCTTAAGACTTACTTTTTGTGGTACATCTACAAAAATAATGTTCCAAAAGTAAGGAAGTGCATCAGGAACGACAGCTATGAAAAACCCTACTTCTATTTTATTGCTTCAAGTTGTGCTCGGTTGACCGAACCAAGAAAATAGAGAACTTGATCCAAAATTAGGTATGAGAAACTTCGTGTCCTAGAGATCGTAATATATTATTATTAAGTGGAAAATTGGCTGGTTTTGCCCTGCCCCAAGGACACCTTCCAGAAGAGGTAGCGCTGCTATGGCAGAAAGCGGCAATCATGATTTAACTGCACTTCGAGGGGTTGAGTAATACATGTAAGTCTTTCCAAGTAAAAATGATTCTTGCTGTTAAGAAAATTACACATGTCATTATTCACACTATCTAGCAAAATCACTACCACTCAAGAAATGTAGGAAAGGCAGCATTTGCAAATGTTGAGCATTTGACACACAATGTAACTATTCCAATGTGACTGAAAAGATGGACTAAATTTATATATTTTTGAAAACGTTTATTCTATACTTCACTTTCTTAACCTTGACTAGGAGCACATTCGCCCACCCACAAATCCCAGGGAAAGGAATGGAAGCCTAAAATCTTGCCAATGTCAATATGGCATGAGTCTGACTTGGCGTTTTGAGATTAAATATGGCACTACCTTATTTAGAGCAACTATCTATCAGTTGGGATTTAAACTTTCTGGCCAAGTAAAAGATACATTATTAAATCACTACTGACAAAAAAAACCAACACAGTCTTTCCTGTTTCTTTTATGAAGTCATGAAAAGTTACATTGCTGTGTCATTTTTGGAGAAAGATACATACCTAAAGGAAAATAAAGAATCTTTTTTTAAAAAAGGACAAAGGTTTAACCCTTGCCTGTAAAAAGCATTTCTTTCTTTTATTTTTTGTCATCTGCTCACAAAAACTAACAAACGGGTTTTTTTCTTCGCATTTTCACTGGGCTGCAGGTAACATCCCTGCTGGATACTCTTAATAGACCATCATTTGCACCCACAGGAGAGTAAGGCTGCTCCCTCTTCAATTACGCAAGTCAATTAGGTTCAATGAGGAGGTGGGGGTCTCTAAAGACTGATCTGTAAGCTTGTTCACAGCAACACAGGGAGGTATGACAAACTCACGGGGCTTCCCGTGACATCTGGCAAAATGAAATTACCACCTCCTCGCACCTGTCAATATGTAACACATCAGCAACAGAAAAAAAAAAAAAAAAAGCATAATTGGGCTGAAAAAGAATTCCCAGGGATTGAGCAGTTGCTTCTGGGAAGGGATAAATGCTAGTTCAGAGGAGTTTACACCACGGTATACCTGTTCTCGTTTAGGATATTCAAAGAGGTTTACTTGGGAGTTACAAAAGTCGTACAGGTAGTCCTCAACACACGACCACAATTGAGCCTAAAATTTCTGTTGCTAAGCAAGACAGTTGGTTCAGTGAGTTTTGCCCCATTTTACCAACTTTTTAACCACACAGTTGTGAAGTGAACCTGGCTTCCTCATTGATTTTGCTCATCAGAAAGTTGCAAAAAGGGGATCATATAACCCCGAGACGACACGGCAACCGTCATAAATGTGAGTTAGTTGCCAACTGGCTGAATCTTGATTACGTGGAGGGGCTGCCACAGTCATAAGTGTGGAAAAATGGTCATACGTCACTTTTTTCAGTGGTGTGGTAACGGTGAACGATCACTAAATGTTGTAAGTCGAGGACTATCTGTATTTAGACTTACTCCTCCTTTCTCATGTTGAAACAGACGAAATCTAACGCAACTCGAAATCTGAGGATTTTCTTCAGCAATGAGTGAAGGTAGTAAGAAAGCCGCAATGAAAACGAGTAAGAAGAGAGGCGGTTGACTCTAGCCAATTTATGAAAGACCAAAGCAGAAACTTCTTCTGATATCCTAGAGCAGTGTTTCTCAACCTTGGTCACCTGAAGATGCATGGACTACAACTCCCAGAATCCCCCAGCCAGTGCTGCTTCTGGGAGTTGTAGTCCACACATCTTCAGGTGACCAAGGTTGAGAAATACTGTCCTAGAGCTAAATACAGGTAGTCACTTAGGGACCGTTCAAAGTCACCAAAAAAGTGACTCGTGACCGTTTTCCACATTATGACGGTTACATGGTCACGTGATTTACATTCGGATGCTTGGCAAGAGGAACCAGCCTCACCTTTGCAGTGTCGATGTAGCACATCCAAGGCAGCAATGAGGAACTCGTGGGCGTCCTGCTGCTCGTACCCTGCTAAATGCCGTGCGTGTGTCCATACCAGGTGCAATAACCTATATGGAATGTGAGGAGATCGGTGCCCAGAGTAGAACTGGAGGGGAGGGGAGGGGGGGCGGAATCAGAGGGGAGGACGGGAAAGAAAACAAAAGGTTCGGGGATTTATTTATTTTTCTCCTTTCTCCAAAGCAGCAAATACATAAAAAAACTCTTCGTGGAAAGATTAGAATTATTCCCTAAATATTTTTTTTTCTATCCTGATTTTGTTACTTTTATAACTAACTTAAATATTGTACACCTTCTTCCTCCTGTTTTCTTCCCACAACAACAACCCTGTGAGGTGGGTTGGACTGAGAGTGATGGCACCTTGCAAATGGGAGCATATGGAAGAGGAAATGAAGGAAGCCTAAAATATTAAGGAGAGCGATCTCTCTGGTTGCCTCTTACATACTGCAAAGATGAAAGTGTGACCTTCTCAACAATGACACAAAGGGGCAACTTACCTCCTGAAAAAGCGTAGACATTTCACAGACCAGACACGAGCTGGGGCTTTGCATTTCACATTTGTGTCTGTCGGAGAGGAAGAAATCTCGCAGCAGTGGAGTGTGAGTAAGTGCTTGGACAATACAGTTCATAAAACATGTGTTCCCAAGATTAATTAGCCCCCGTAGACCTGTATAAAAAGGAGACAAAAAGAGGACAAGCGAACTGTGGTTCAGTTTCACACAACTGGAAGTCAGCTCAGCTGAAACTTTCAACCACTGCAAAACCAATTTCAAATCGTCATTATTATTTCTTGTTCTGTATTTTGTTCATCTCCTTCCACTTTAGCTTTTAAATATTATAATAACCAAATGGCTTGAATACATCTGGTGACGTGATTCCCCCCCCCCCCAAAAATGTGGGCATCTCATGTGTTACAAGAATTTACTTTCACTGCTGAGCAAAAGCACCTAGGGCTCACTGTAGCATGTTTAAAACTAGAGCTTCTTAAATCTTTATCACTATGAGGTAGTGAAGGCTTGAGCCCTCTAAAAATGGCACTCCATATTTGAATACTAGAAGGAAAATCAAAGCATGTACTGTGGGCCTCAATTCTTGGTCTCTAGCCACTGTTCAACCACAATTCCCATCACAATAACCACATCTTAGTAGGAAACTATAGCAGTTACAAGCTATCATTTGGATCTTAGGTTTTTTTTCCCTCCCCCGTTAAGTAATACAGAAAAGAATGAAAACCACACAACAGCAACAAAACTGAAAACAGCCTTCAGTGTATTTTCATCCACGATCCCTACCAGCAGCACCAATGCTGCTAGGAGTTTCTGGGAATTGGAACCCCACATATGTAGAAAGCATCAAGGTTGGTGAAGGGTGCTTTTAAAGCATTGACCGGAGGAACAAAATATAAATTCACACGTTTTTTCTGGGAATGAAAGTAAAGAGACTTCGACTTAAATCAGGAAGGTAGCAAAATATTTGGACTTTATTACAGCTGAAATTCTCTCCTTAAACATGAAACAGAAAACACTAATCAGGGTATTAGTGGACGTAGATGACCAGCTTGAAGATTGGCAAATTCTTACCTCTCCAAAGCAATAGAACTAAAATTCTGAGATGGCTCATAATATTAAATGGCCTTGTATATGCAGAAATATTTCTGAACAGCCTTTCATCTTCCTTTCCCAAGCAGGTATGTGTTTCTGTTGCTAGGATACTGCAGACTACGAACAGTGAATCACTATACTGGACAACCTATTAAGTATTGATATGGAAGCCGTCCTAAAATCACTGGCATTAACACAACGCTATCATCTTATCAGCCCAACAAGCTATTTCTTATTTTCAACAAGAAATTGCTTTGCTTAACTTTTATCTAAGTATTTAATCCTTATTACAAACTGCAGTGTAAATATTGAGAATGCCTTTTAGCTCATGAATGGAATCCATCATATTTAGAAAGTGTGCAGCATTAGACATAGTATGTTGTGAATTTGCTGGCTAATTGTACAGAGGCAGAAATCAAGAAACCGTGTGTTATAAGCAAAAAGTAATGCTATCTCTTTATTAACCAGCCCAAATTCCCAAACAAGAAGCAATTCAAAATACGTTATACAAGACAAGACGCAAGTTCATCACTTAATACACTCTGCTTATTGACTGTAACTCTGGAAAATAGATTTGAATAAAGGAACAAGGACAAGGCTTATTTATTTCTTTTAACAGCACAGGTACGACCACAATTCAGGGTTCTATGTTTGGACTGCAGTGTGAATTGTAGACAAGTGCACATAAAAAGAAACAAATAGCCTTGCCACAAACGAGGCTGTTGTAACCGCAACTCAGGCATAACTACTATAGTTTTAGAATCAATGATTTTGGTGACGAGTCTTTCTAATGATGGGAAACGGCGGAAGAAACAACAAAAGACAACAGAAGTAAGATAAGGTTTAATATTAAGGTTAAGCGGCAGACTACGTCAAATGATTTCTGATTTAAGAAATAGAGATGAGATAGAGAAGAAAATATAAGATAATAGAGAAGAAGGACAACTGCATTTTTAGCCTTGCTTCTTGACTGCAAGTATGTTTTAAAAAAACTAAAGAAGTAGTGAAATATACATTACAAATTAAATACAAGAGGGTTGAATGAAAAATAATCCATCCAGTTCTGTAAATGGCCAACAGATGGCAGTACTGATATCTCCAAAGCTCTGGTATGTTTTTTTAGCATCTCTTCTTTCACTTCAATGGGTGGGAATTACGGTATGTTACATGCAGTGACTGAATTTTTGACTGACAGAGGAGTCCCTCCAATTGAAATTCACCATCCTTTCAAGTGCAGGTTTGGGATGACGGTAAGAGCATCAATGTGAATACTATGCATCCCTGGGCCAAAAATATAAAAGACGATGAACCAGATAGAGCTGGTTTGTAGGTTCAAGAACAAAGTGTGTGACATCAACCAACTGGTTTCCCAGGAGTAAAGTTGATGGACTGATTAAGAACATTTGGTGGATCATCCGAAGAGAAACTGCTGTCAGACACGGCATTTCACAGGAACACGGGGTGGGTGGGATGGGGTGCGGGGCTTTTTACATTATTGATGTTCTCCAATCTTGGAAGGTTTGTGGAAGAGGGCTTCCTTGCATGCTAATGGCAGAGGTGAAAACTTCAAGAGTTGAAGTTGGCCAGCAATTATTGTCATGCTATAGGAAAGAAGCTGAGGAATTTCTTCAGCGTGCGTGATAGCCAACTAAACATAGGATCATTGTTGTAAGTCAGAATTGAAGAATTGTTCCATGGAGTAGCATCCACAAAGCTTCACCTGCAAAAAACAAAAAAAATGCAAAGTCCAGGCTTCGGTAGGAAAACTCATTGGTTATAATTCTTGGGGACGTAGATGATGCTATTCAGATGGATTTCCTTGAACCCGGACTCACTATCAACACACGAGTGCCACACTGTAACATCCAAACCTTGAACACAATGATTAGACGGACTGTGGAAGCGTAAGAAGGAAATTCTGCTGCAACACTGCAACATTAGACTGACTCATACCTCGTCAGTTATCCAAGAGACAATTGTGAAATTGGATCTCATAATCTTCTCCCAAATATTATATAGGCTCGAATTTGGCATCATGTAACTTCTATTAATATAAGTGAAGAGAAGGAGCAGGGGAGATGATAGCAGTCTTCCAATATTTAAGGAGCTGCCACAGAGAGGAGGGGGGTCAAGCTATTTTCCAAAGCCCCTGAAGGCCAGACAAGGAACAATGGATGGAAACTGATCAAGGAGAGATTCAACCTAGAAATAAGGAGAAATTTTCTGACAGTGAGAACCATCAACCAACGGAACAAAAGCTGCCTTTGGAAGTTGTGGGAGCTTCATCACTGGAGGCTTTCAAGAAGAGACTGGACTGCCATCTGTCACAAATGATGTAGGGTCTCCTGCTTGGGCAGGGGGTTGGACTAGATGACCTACAAGGTCCCTTCCAACTCTTGTTATTCTGAGACATTATTCTGAGATCTTTCTCCCCAAAGTGAAGGAATACCACGGTAAGCACCTCAAATGATGAGGTGGGGGGAAAAAAAGTATGGATCTGACTGAAGAGACAAACTGTGGAGTGAGTTTGTGGTGATTTTAAGAAATCTGCCCGTCATTGGTAGACATGCATAGCGAATAGTGGTAGACAATTATGTACAAGTAATGAAAGAATTAGTTTCAGTCATTATTTCCCCGTTTCATTTATTCAACTATCCATATTTAAAGTAAAGTTATGCGGGGGGCATTACTTTTCATTCAATGTGCTTATATTAAGGTGCCCCCAGGATTTGCTGGGATCAATACATTTATAAAATAATGATCACCAAACTGTCTTCTCCTTGAGCTAAACATCACCAGTTCCATAAGCATTTCTTCAGAATTTAGTCTTTAAGCCAGGGCTCTCCAAACTTGGGAACTTTTAAGACTCGTAGACTTCAACTCCCAGAGTTCCCCAGCCAGAATGGGAGTTGAAGTCCACGAGTCTTAAAAGTTCCCAAGTTTGGAGAGCTCTGCTTGAAGCCCCAAAAGCTATTTCCATACCGGGAAATTCCTACAGCGGAATTAGAAGGAATATCGCAGAGAAGCTCTCTTGACGATGAGATGTAACTTGATTAATAGCAGGTTGGGGACCTCTAAATGTGATGTATAGCAAATGCAGACCTAAAGGGGAAAAAGGGCAACAGTGACTTGCAAATGCAGTGTCATTAAACTTTCTGTAGTCTAACTCGCGCCAAGCTTTCTGCCAGAAATTTTGGAAGTGATTCAACTCTGCAGCCCTGAACAGCCCTGGAGATCAATAAGGAAAGAGTTCTGCAGTAATCTTGCATCAAATTGTCTCCCTTATTTAAAATCAACTTCCTTTGGTACATCCGTACATCCTCGTGTATAAGACCACCCACTGTTTTTACCAATTTATCAAATGGAGTGCAGAAAGAAATATATTACTACTGTTTTTGTCTTACGTAGAAGGTGAAGTAGGAAGGCTAAGAATAATGACAGGTGGCACCACATAGACAACCAAGAATAAACCTGGAAGCTACCAGGACCAATCCTTGTAGGTACTTAGATGCCGGAGCAAATTGGTATTTTCTGACTCCAGGACAGATTGGGACATTTTGGGGAAGAAGGGAAGTTTTCCCAGAACTGCACGGATAAAGCATTGAGTTTTTCTCCAGCAGAGATAATTAAAATAATCCAATCCTTTTCCTTGACAAGTCAGGAATCAGACAGACAAGTGATGATTAAGAACACGGTTGGGCTGAAAACAGTGATCACCGCGAATAGTTTCACTAAGAATGAACAAGAGGGTCAAGGAATTCTCCAGTTATCACCAACTTGTTATTGCTACTAATGGTAATATCAGAACCACAAGTTGCAAAGAAACTTAAAGCTCAAGAAACAAACTCCCTACCCTATCTGTATTTTGAAGATATCCAACTGCCCTGATTAAAAATATTTTGGTAAAGCTGTAAACAAAGAAAGCCTCCTGTCACCAAAGAAGGGCTGCAAGTGACAAATAAGAAGGCAAAAGATACAAAGACCAAAACGGAGAGACGCTTGCTGGAATTAGAGGATGTTTTATCAATATTAGCTGGAATTTCACTTTCAGGGCAGATAGGATATGCAAAAGAAGACATAACAGAATGAAAGTCAGATGCTCTTAATTCAGACATTAAAGCAAAAGAGAAGAGTTAATGTCTTGTAGGCAGAAAATATTCCAAGAGAGCTGTTGTGATGTCAGGAGGTTTTAGAAATGTGATAAATAAATAAACAAACCAGCCAAGGAGATGCAGTTTCAATTTCCTATTTTTAGGTGAAACGGAGTCAACTGAGCATTCAGCTAGAAATGAGAATATACATAGATCGCCATCCCATTCATAGAAACATTTTGCTTAGCAGAAAACCCTATTTGCTTAAGGTATACTTTTCCAGTTTGAACAGTTTTAGTAAGAAATGTTTAAATCCCTTTTTAAAATTGTCAATTTTAACCTCAGTTATCACCCACACCCACAGAACTCTTACTGCAGTATAGAAGTATTCAATTACTCTTTGAAGATTGGGGTGTTTCCTCTGGATGGCGTGGAAATTAGAAGTTTTCTGAATGGCAAAATAAAGAGATAATATATAGATGTATTTCGTGTTGCACATATTTTTTGTACCAGAATGAAGATTTTATAAAGAAGAGATTTTATATTAACTCGATTGGAGTTCTGAAGCCAGAATTAAATTTGTGCAGATGGCATCGTTAGAAAATGAGACTCACTCCTACTAAACTGACGAAATACAGTTCATGCATAAATTCTTTTCTCCTTCATCCCAGTAACTCACCATATGTTGCTTATATATTCTTACCACTATTCACAACAGGGTCCATGTTTCAAAAAATGGGAAGAAAAGAACACTGTCAGCTACCGATAGCTTTTACAAGCCAACCCTACGTATTATATATTACTATATACGAAAGCATGTCAAACAGACGCTGTGCAATTCTTACATTTCTGGTGGTCCTAAAACCAGGTATTTAGTTGCTATACTCCCTCACCATCTAGATATGTTTACATTTCTTTAGCTGTAACCAGTGGTGGTATTCAGCTGGTTCTATCCGGTTCGAGAGAGGCTCCGCCCACCCGCCCGGATGTAATCATGTCCCGTTTTTGACACTCTGCGCATGCGCAGAGGTGGGCTCCCATTTGCGAACCGGTAACGAAGGTAAGTGAATACCACCCCTGGTTGTAACTTAAGGTATTTATTGCAATTTTGTCTTAATGTCCTAAGGAGATTTGCAGTCTGAAAGACAATTTTGCTGTCTATGTCCAGCAACTTTTTTAAGCTAATTTGATAAAATTAAGCAGGCCATGTTCTAATTCTCTTCCAGAAGCCCAGCAATCATGAATATTGGTACCCTGTAACAGTTCCTTGGGCACTGGGGTAAGAAACAAACAGAAAATGTGTTTTGGTTCACATTTGAAACAAAGAATGTACGCCCAGAATATTCTATCAGGGTGTTTCAAGTAGGCTGTTGCAACAAACGAACAAACCAAAAAAATCCAAAGCCATTAAAATATTCCATCAGTACAAAACTAAAAACATATATATATATAAATCAATAGGAATTTTATACAAATCCTTTACTCCTTTACTTTTTATTCAGGGGCCACAAATGTAGACAGGATGATAGTTCATGCCAATCTCTACCAGCTAGCCAACTCCCAGATGGATTGGCAAAGGGCAAAAAATTTTAAAAAATGAAAATAAACATTAAATCCTACTCAATTTTTACAGACAAGTAACACCGATCCCAATACATGCAGCAGCTCTCATTCTTTAACTAGCTATTAGTTAACAGCTATCATCTTAAATATTCTAACACAGCTGGAAAAGCACACTCTTGTTTTCACTACCATGATATGGAGGTTCCTTAAATGTTTTCAAATATTTACAAAGCCGGTTGCAAAAAAGAAAAGAAAAGAAAGGGACTAATGCTGTTTAGCTGCATGGAAGAGCATTCATTAACATTACAATAATAAAACAAAGCAAAAAATCACCCACTCTTACTGTTTTGCCAGCTTCTGCTACCAATGCCAGTGCTTAAATAAATGCAATCGCAGCTCACGATGCAAACAAATCAAATATATTTGGGGTTTTGAGTTTCTTAAATATTACCAGGAACTCGTCTTATCTACAACCACACAAATGCAGCATCATTAGTGGCCTTCGTTCATAAACTTGAAGTAAAGTTTAATTTCATGAATTATGAAAAATAGGCAAGTCATACGTGAATAATTTTTGCAAAGTGCTAATGGGAAGCAATCGCTGTGGTCATCTGGAGTCCCCAAGAAAGGGTTTAGTCATGTCTATATTGTGTTTCCCACAAGAGAGATCCTTTTGCTGAGTCATGCAAAGCATCTGGTGGAGACTCTGTCATACACTGTATGGCACAGAATAGCAGGAAACCAACAGATCACATATGTTAGCTTGCCATATCCATTTTAACCCTGGTCGTTTTCAATGGAGTGGAGATCTGTGGCTTGCAAATTATCTTTTGCCAGGCTGCCCAATTTAGGGATGAGTCAGACTACAATTCCCACAATCCAAGGCTTATAGAAGTTCAATGCATCTGGAAAGCAGCACTTTGAAAAGGGTTAGACTGCTACATGGAAGGCCATCATCATGAGAAGTTAGTTTACAAAAAAGTTGCTTTTTTTAAAAAATGTGCATTAATCATTAGGCTGGCAGGTTTGCATACAGCTGTTGAATCTGATTTCCTGCCACTGACTCTCTCAGCTATTAGACTGTACAGCGTGTTCAGTAGTGGCGAAGAAAAATCAGGGTGGAGTAGAGAAATGCATGCAATTTACTCTTTAAATAAAACAGTTTTCTAAAGCTGATGTTCTTGGCGGGAAAGGAAAACCGAGCCCCTATGAATTGGTCAGAGCCAAGACACCTCAAATAGAAATGTGTAGTGAATCCTTATTTGAGATGCAAGACGTTCCCGTTATCTGAATTCAACTAACTGGTGACTCATTAAGAAGCATAATCAAAAGCTGCGGCAGTGCAGTTAAGTTCATCTTTGAAGTTTGTCTCCAGATAACTGAAGACATGCACATATGCTTCTCTGACTCATACATATCGCGTAGAAGAGATTTCAATGGTTTAGTGAAAATTTCTGCCTCAAAGAGCTGGGTTTTAAACTACTGATCCTATAGGACTGCTAAGATTTTTTAGCAATGATTTTCTTCAGAGGAACCTTCTAGACAGCAATTCTGGAATGCATGAGCAAGCCTAACTATCACTATGACATCTAATAGGATCAGGTCCTATTAAGAGTTATATACCTATTTATTTATAAACAGTCACACTAAGAAACTGAATAGGATCCCTAAGAAGAAACTCCAGGTAGTCCTCAACTTACGAACATAATTGAGGCCAAAATTTCTGTTGTTAAGCGAGAAACTTGTTAAGTGAGTTTTGCCCCATTTTACGACTTTTCTTGCCATAGCTGTTGTTAAGTGAATCACTGCAGTTGATAAGTTAGTAACTCGTCAGTTGTTAAATGAACCTGGCTTCCCCATTGACTGTGCTTGTGAGGAGGTCACAAAAGGGGATCATGTGACCTTGGGACACAGCAACGGTCATAAGCATGAAACAGTTGCTAAGCATCTGAATTTTGATCACATGATCATGGGGGTGCTGCAAAGATCGTAACTCTGAAAAACCGTCATAAATCCCTGTTTTCAGTGCTGTTGTAACTTTGAACGGTCACTAAACAAACTGCTGTAAGTCGAGGACTATCTGTATTGTAAGGCAATATGTCTACGCAGGCATGTTCTTTTGTTCTTTGTTTCCCTGTTTATTATGCAAGACTTGTTAGATCAGGTTAAATACTCCCAAAATAAATGAAACCAAAAAGTTTCTTAATTTCTTTACATTATAAGAGCAGTCCCTGAAAGAATTGCTTAGTAGATATGGATTAAGATTAGGTGACTTGATTTAAACCAGTCATGCAGTATAGGAAACCCAGAAAAATGAAGTAGATCAATTTAAGAACAGCACCTACATTATAGTTTTTCTGTCAGAATTTATTCAGCAAGTGAGTGTTAAACTCAATGGTTTTATTCCCTGTGTTGGTGAAAAATAAACACAAAAACCAAGATAGAACAACAGAAAAGGGATGAGTTTTTATTTTTAGGACCCCGTCCGTTAAGGAGGGAATATGAATCCTTGGGGAAAAAAGAAGCAGCACTCATTCAGAAGGCAACAAATGCTTATGTTAACTTGGCATCCTTTCCTGAAGCCTATTATCCAAGTTCTGATTTATCATTTCATCCTGTAAATA